CAAATTTTGATATGCGGAAAAGGTGACGTCATCGACTCGTGACATTATCTTATCAAACAACGTTTAAGCCAGTGGCATTCACATCGCAAGGGCGCAGGTTGTGGAATAAATAGCGGGAAATCAGACTTTCAATATTTATGAGATTTTTACGCTTAAGAATTTAGCCTGATTACTTCAATTGAAATAATTTGTGTAATTCTAGATTTTATGACTCTCGCTATATAATGTATGTGTTTATATTAGGGGTGTTCATATTTTATCACGCTTATCGGTACTAGATAAAATTATTTGAATGTACTGATAGGCCTTACTCTGATATCGATAGTTTTGTTGTCGAAAAATATGTTGATGATTATTTCCTTTGAAGAATCGATGTCGACAGAGATCTAAAAATTTTGAAAAGCATGCCATAGTTTGTCGGTTTCGGCTGAAACTAAAAACCTCTTTCGATTGCTTCTCTCCTCTGCAAACTTTCACCAGTAATTCACTCCAAGTGCAGACAAGCTCAGCGTTAATATATCCTTCCATGCGCTGCGTGGACGTCCTTGCTTTTATTGTCGACCCCATAGGTGCCGAGTGCAAGGAAATTTTCAGTGGAGCATCTTAACCGACTCCAATCGGGGCAAACATTTATATGTGATATCTTCGATATTAGTAGTATCAATTTTGGTTACTAAATGAAAAAAATATTTTTAATTTTTTGAGTCTCCATAGAGGCATGTGGCCTTTGACCCCTTTGCGACACGCCTTAACTCTCTCTAATCGGTATCAAAATTTATATGTGCNGGTGACGTCATCGACTCGTGACATTATCTTATCAAACAACGTTTAAGCCAATGACATTCACATCGCAAGGGCACAGGTTGTGAAATAAATAGCGGGAAATCAGACTTCCAATATTTATGAGATTTTTACGCTTAAGAATTTAGCCAGATTACTTCAATTGAAAAATTTGTGTAACTCAAGATTTTATGACTCTCGCTATATAATGTATGTGTTTATATTAGGGGTGTTCATATTTTATCACGCTTATCGGTACTAGATAAAATTATTTTAATGTGCTGATACGTCATTACTCTCATATCGATAGTTTTGATGTCGAAAAATATGTTGATGATTATTTCCTTTGAAGAATCGATGTCGACAGAGATCTAAAAACTTTGAAAAGCAGGCCATAGTTTGTCGGTTTCGGCTGAAACTGAAAACGACTATGGTCCCTGTGCGACACGCCTTAACTCTCTCTAATCGGTATCAAAATTTATATGTGCTATCTATGCCCGTGGTATTACCGATTAAATACAATCATTCACTTGATTTCTAACGACCACCGTAATGTACAAACAGGGCAGTCACGACCAAAACGTTTGTCTGTAATCGTCACTGGGATAGTGCCACTAGGATTTAGCATGAAGCCACTCTCATAAGATAAAATCATTTCGTTCATGAAGGACTTCATGTCGAAAGACCTTATGCGGTGATATGCGTCAGCAGAAGAATCCCTTTTATTGGAAGATTGCGAAAACTACACTACCATTCCAGTCTTGAAGCATGTATTCATCAGACCAAATTTTTCCTTACAGCTAGTACATGCGCCCTACCTGCCTAGCTGGTATACCGTCGGCTTCAGAGGCTTTGTTTTTAAGCCGATTTATTTCTGTAATCACTTCGTCTTCTTCGAGTAGAAGGATGGAAGCTGCTTACCTATAAAATTGTCATAGTTCTACATCGTCGATTGCGCCACCTATTTCGTCATTTGAAAGCGTGGAGAAATGTTTCCTCCATATTTCAAGTATACGCTAGAGGTGCGCTACCTGGTTTATGTACTATGTGCTCTATATTGCATTCTTCTTCCAGACAGTAGCTACATTGATTGCTTTCTTTGATTTCTGAAGTTAATGTTCTGAAGTTGCTTTGAGGTTGCTCTGTCGTCACTAGAGTTTACCTAGGTCTAGGTTTAGTATATCCTTATGTTCCTTNCGACCACCGTAATGTACAAACAGGGCAGTCACGACCAAAACGTTTGTCTGCAATCGTCACTGGGATAGTGCCACTAGGATTTAGCGTGAAGCCACTCTCATAAGATATAATCGTTTCATTCATGAAGGACTTCATGTCGAAAGACGTTATGCGGTGATATACGTCAGCAGCAAAATCCCTTTTATTGGGAGATCAGACCAAATTTTTCCTTACAGCTTGTACATGCGCTGTACATGGCTTCAGAGGCTTTGTTTTTAAGCCGATTTATTGCTGTAATCACTTCGTCTTCTTCGAGTAGAAGGATGGAAACTGCTTACCTATAGAATTGTCATAGTTCTACTTCATCGATTGCGCCACCTATTTCGCCATTTGAAAGCGTGGAGAAATGTTTCCTCCATATTTCAAGTATACGCTAGAGGTGCGCTACCTGGTTTATGTACTATGTGCTCTATTTTGCATTCTTCTTCCAGACAGTAGCTACATTGATTTCTTTCTTTGATTTCTGAAGTTAATGTTCTGAAGTTGCTTTGAGATTGCTCTGTCGTCACTAGAGTTTACCTAGGTCTAGGTTTAGTATATCCTTATGTTCCTTGAACCATTGAGCTCTTTTCCTTGAAGACCGGAGTGTGGTGATGCCAGTATAAGTTGTAGCTCCTTCTTTCGTCGACTTACAATCTTGGATTCTGGAATCACGCGCAAAACAAGAATCCACCACAATACATAGCCAAATTCAAAATAGTGTATTTCTTTGGGTGCACATGTGCCTAAAAGGGTCAAGGCTATCGACAGATCACTGACGAATATGTATGCATTATTATGAACCTCTGTACGGATTTGACTTTAATTTTAGACAAAAACAGATACAAATAATGCTGTAATAAAAGGATAAATATTTCCCCAAGACAATGTTCGGACGCACATGTCTTCAGATGCAATGGCCAATTGCATGAATTAAGTAACGAATCGCTCGCTCATCCAGCACATTTTTCACATTCACTACAGTGCGCCTACCAAACCTCAAAAAATTTTCGGGGCCAAGAGATTTCCGACAAATGAAGAGGTTTTAACTGAAACAAGGACCTTGAAAAAACCGACTTTTTGAAGGGATACTTAACTTTTAGCACTGCTTGAATGAGTTCGAGCGTGGCCGCCTTCAAGATGATTTTCGTGACGGTTATCTTAAAAGAGCTTTTGCTCTAGAAAACAACAGTGCTGTGTGTGCGCGCAGACGAGCATGCGACATACCATAACATAAAATCGTTGGCATTTTTGTGGCGAGAAAAAGTTCGATTTTGTAAAGTAAAAGTATTTAGGTGCAAAAAATGGTTTGATTCTATTGAATACTAATGTCGATAAATGCAAGAGAATGCTGAGAAAATATAGCCAGTGTAGTTCAAAAGACGTCACCAATATCGCAACAAGTGGTGAACCATGGACCTATGCGTATGAGTCCACAACCGACCAGCAATTCACTGATTCGACCTTTGAAAAGGAGGAGACCCCGAAAAAAGTTGTCTAAGCAAAGCTATAATATCGGAGTTATCAACTTCGTGGCAAAACTGATTTGTTAATATCTATAGNCTTCTTTCGTCGACTTACAATCTTGGATTCTGGAATCACGCGCAAAACAACGATCCACCACAATACATAGCCAAATTCAAAATAGTGGATTTCTTTGGGTGCACATGCGCCAAAAAAGGTCAAGGCTGTCGACAGATCACTGACGAATATGTATGCATTATTATGAACCTCTGGACAGATTTGAGTTAAATTTTAGACAAAAACAGATACAAATAATGCAGTAATAAAAGGATAAATATTTCCCCACGACAATGTACGGACGCACATGTCTTCAGATGCAATGACCAATTGCATGAATTAAGTAACGAATCGCTCGCTCATCCAGCACATTTTTCACACTCACCACAGTGCGCCTACCAAACCTCAAAAAATATTTGGGGCCAAGAGATTTCCGGCAAATGAAGAGGTTTTCACTGAAACAAGGACCTTGAAAAAACGGACTTTTTGAAGGGATACTTAACTTTTAGCACTGCTTGAATAAGTTCGACCGTGGCCGCCTTCAAGATGATTTTCCTGACGGATATTTTAAAAGAGCTTTTGCTCTAGAAAACAGAGAAAGATTTGATTCTACTGAATGCTTCATAATCTTATGGCTGTACAAAAAGGGCTCATGTCGATAAGTGCAAGAGAATGCTGGGAAAATATAGCCAGTGTAGTTCAAAAGACGTCTGCAATATAGCAACAAGTGGTGAACCATAGACCTATGCGTATGAGTCCACAACCGACCAGCAATTCACTGATTCGACCTTTGAAAAGGAGGAAACCCCGAAAAAAGTTGTCTAAGCAAAGCAATAATATCGGAATTATCAACTTCGTGGCAAAACTGATTTGTTAATATCTATAAGCATTTTTTCGTACACTCATTATTGCAACAAAATCGTGCTTAAAACCCTCGCGTCCATCAATGTCAAATTTACTTAAATTCGTGTGAAAATTTTTCGTTTTTCGGTTCACTTCTTCAAGCCTATAGTTTCACCAAGTAAAACGCTGATTATTTTTCGAAGTTTCAGCTTTTTCACCTCGCTTACAACTGCCTCGAACACTCTCATCCGGAGTTAACACAGAAATATTGATTCACTGTTACCAATTGAGGTTAATGGAAATTGCACGAAATTAATTTCATGTGAAATTGCAGCGACACGGAATATTCAATCTTGCTGGCAATGCGAAACCACAAACACACCTACACCTACATACACACCCAAAAGTACATACATAAATTCATACATAAATACATAAGTAGCCAAGTAAAAAGAGATAAAGCTCACACGCTGGCTGAATAGTAAACCGAATGACAGCATAAGGGAGGGGCCGCGCAAAGGGTGAAGGGGCGCCAAGTGCACACACACCCCGACATATATGTACATCTATACACACTCGTTTGTATAAAATTAATAACTGACACAATCTCCTTTCTTCTCTTCTTTTACCTCCGTTTACAGCTACAACAGCAACAGCAGCAGCAACTCCGCCTCCAGCGGCAGCAACACGAATGTAGTGCCGAAAAATGATAAAAATGCCATCATGCAAAACATTGCCAACAGTTATCGCCGCTCGGGGGCTAGCTACAATACCTCAGCCTCCAGCTCATCTGCCACTGCAATCTCCGCAGGCGTCTCCTCCACCTCCTATGCCGCCACCAATTGGTTAGGGCCGCTGCCGAAACGTCGCCGCACGAAATCACGTACGAAGTCCCGCGATTGCCGCGTCAGCCACTGGTCCGAGTGGTCGGCCTGCAGCAAAACTTGCGGCATCGGTGAGATGCATCGATATCGCAAGGTCATCAGGCATGGCAAGCGTGGCGGACGGCCATGTCCAGCGCTGCAAGAGTCCAAGTGGTGCGGCACGGAGAAGGGTTGCCACTCGCCGGCGACCTACTTCAATTGGTAAGTGAATTGTAAATTGTGCGCTAAAGTGAATGTGAGTGCGCATGTATACGTGTGTGTGTGTGTGTGTGTGTGTGTGTGTGTGTTTATAATACTGCCAGCCAGCGGGTGGGTTCGAAATGCTGAATTGACAGTTGGACAAGCAGTGACATTTAGCTGGACAAAGATTGACAGCTAAAAAATTTTGTGTGGGTTGGTGATCGTATATGGAGGGGCATTAAGAAAAAAATAGAAGCAAAAAGTGAATTTGCGGATTAAAAAATATCAATTTGGGTTGGGGTTTATTGAAAGCAGTGCGCTGAGTGAAAGAAATGAATTGAATGCGAATCCGTGGAAGGCACATAAATCAGAAAAAATAACAAAAATATATGCACTTAAGATCTTTTTGAATATACATAAATGTTTTTTATTTATGCATTTCCAGGTCCACTACATGAAGGACGCAGAGAAAACAAGCGTAGTTCGTAACGTAAGCGTATGATTTCTTTTACAAAAAAAAATTCTAACAAAAATAAAAGAAAATAAAAAAATTATTGCTAAGTAAAAAGAACTATATAAAAAACAGTAAAAAAAGAATTAAAAAATATGAAGAAAAACAGAAAAATAATAAATATTTAGCATAAAAACATAAAAAGCATTAAAATTATTAAACCCAACTCGTATTTTTAAGAGAAATTAAATGTTGGTGTTTTGCAACAAAAAGTAAAAAAAATTGTTATTTTTTTGTTTTCAATGTGTGCATTAAAAAAAAATATTTTGAATACAATTTTTTTTTAAGTTTTCATTAATAAAAAACACTCCAGAATTTAATTTTTTCATTCTGGTTTTTGTATAAATACCAAATTTGCCCTCTTTGAATTGATGAAGGGCCGGGAAACAAAATTTTTAATGAAGCAGTTTTATTCCTATTAGTCTTAAATCATTACATTTTAATTTAAACTAAATTAAACATTTTACTCTATTCTTATTATTTTAATTTTATTTTATTATAATAGCAATGAATTCCTTAAGTAGCAATGAAAGTTTGATTCGCAAAAATTCTTCAGAAGTGTACATATTAGGTATTTTTTTTAGTAAAAGCTCTAAGTTTCTCCGGTTTTGAATTATTTTTTATGTGTTATACAGTGCCGGTCACTTAAATAGCGCCCTCTTTTGATCCACAGTATTCACAGTTTTCTTGTGTTTATTCAGCATTCGGTAATTTTTATAAAAAATATAGCATAACATATAGTCGATCCGATTTTAAGCTTATGTGAAATTTATCATGCTTCAAAAATAGTTTATAAAAATTTTTCAAAGTGTTTGGAAGCATGCAGTTTTAAACCCCGTTCAATTTTGGTAAAATAATTTCACTTACAGCTAGTTTTTGGTATAGTTTTTACCGAAAGTGTAGATGTGTGAAAAAGCTTTTTTTTATCAAAAGATGGTGCTATTCAAGTGACCGGCACTGTACATGATTATCGAAAGTTATTTGGTTTTATTTACAAGATAAAAAAAATATTTTTAATTTTTTGTAGATATAAGGAAAGCTTTGAATAAATATTTTTTTTTTTTGTTTTTAAAAAACTTAAAATGCTTTTGTTAAAGGTTTTACACTTCTAATATTTTTAAGTTACTCGTATTAAAAAAAATTAAATCCATTATTTTTTTTTTTTAATATTTTACATGTTTGATATTTTTTAATTAAACACATTTTTATACAAAATACATAATTTTTTTTTGTCATTGCAAATTAATTTTTTCGAACTTCATGACAGTTATAACAATTGGCAGTCGCTATGAGTGCCAGGAGGTGTCTTTATATATCTTCTTCTTCTTATTTGGCGCTGTAATCGCCTGAGCAATCTTGGCCGAGTTGAACAAAGCACGCCACTCGTTTCTCTTCTGTGCCAACTGACGCCAATTGGAAATGCCTAGTGAAGCCAAGTCCTTCTCCACTTGGTCTTTCCATCGCAATAAGTGGCTCCCAATTCCATCAGCGGGTTCCGAGTAGAATAATTTCATATACTAACTCTTAAATTACTTACTTTTAAAAATTAAACTTAAGAGATGCGTGAGTGTTACAACCGTTATCTTTGCCAAGATGGGATATTACCATAGGAAATGGTAAGTCCATCTTCTTTTCTTCATCCCCGCAACTTCTACAGGGATGTAGTTAACACAGACGATCGTCGAAGCAGTGGTGTGATAGCACAGAGTCCTGTAAAGATGCCGAACCGCATCTTGCTGTAAATTAGTTTAGTTTCGGAAATTCTACATATCATTTCTTGTTAAGCCTCTGTCGTACATACTTACTACACAGTCATCGCGGTTGGTCCATAATGAGAAGCTGTTTTTCAGGGCAGAATACACTTGCCATTGCCTGTCGAGGGACGACCGCTATTAGACAAAACTTTTTTGCTTTATTTCATTTGATGTTGGTTGGCAACTGGACTCGAACCCAGACCCAGCGGAATGATAGCCCTCACGGTTAACCATTAAAGTGCAGCGGCCGCCAATTTCCTTAATTAATCACTGATCGTTGATTGTAAAGTTTAACGTACATTTCCTATGCACGATCTAGAAGTGGTGTATGAGTATTAAAAATTAGATACGTTCAGCCTATAAAGTACTCGATTTCCAAAAATTCCTGGCTAATTTCGGTCCACGGGCCAGTATTGTCTCATTTCTTATCTGCAATGCTTCCCAGAAATTCTACTGGCAGTGTTTCTATGCGGCCCTTATATGAGTTTCGTAGTTGTTGAAGTTTGTCCTCTAATTGTTCCAACCCTTCTCACGTCGACTTTATTTGGCCCTATTAAATAATTTTCTTTTTTTTCCGCTCTAAGTGCCCAAACTCAGCATTCGATCGAAGTCATTTTGCCTTTGACAGGTGTTTGAAACTCTTCAGTTATTTATCTTGCTTGTAGCGAAATCTGTGGCCAGTGCAATATTTGGCCCAATTTAAAAAGGTATTTCAAGATAGCGGTAGACCCTCGGCATGAACCTTTGGATTTTATTCTGCCATGAAAAAGCATGAAGGGCTATAAAGGTTAAGTGAAAGCCATGCACTTAGAAAAATGTGTGAAGTGCGCGAAGACTTATTTGCAAAATTGAATACAAATCATTACTTAAATAAATTCTCAGTTAAATTCAACACAAAAACTTCATGCAACCAGCTTAAAAAAAAATATTTTAGAAGATTCTTATTTCTAACATTCTTTAGTTATGTAAAAAAATTATAAAAACTTGCACTTGTTTTTTCTTTTACTCATAAGTCGTTTCTACCACGATTTTTTGTTTATAAACTATTGAATTTTTTACACCAGCATAAATTTTTAGTTTGAATTTTAAATTTTTAATTTTGTTTGTTGCAAAATGCCCAACCTTGTAATTAATCTGATGCAGAACACAATTTAAGTATCAAAAAGTATACTCAAATAGAGAAATTAATAGCAATAGTAATTCTGTATTTATCAGGTATGTTTTGCAAATTGTACGATTTGAACTCGACGCAATTTGTAAAAGGTCGGTGTTATATAGAAATTTTGATTGTAAAACTGCCAAACTCGGAGAGGAGAAATTGGCGACTCTCTCAGCGATTAACAATTGGTGGACAAACTGCAGCGCCCAACCAGATAACTATCTTATCAAAAAGGCAAAAATCGATGGGCTTGACGGAAGTGTTGCATTTTTAGCAATTTCCATTTTTATGATTCATCACTTTTACTACAATTATTTAATAACATTTTGTCAGCTGCAGCGATTTCAAATCGTACGATTTTCGGAACAGACCTGTATGTTTATGTTTGTGTAGAAACTTGTAATTAATAACCTAAACTAACAACCACAAAAATTGAACAAGGGATATATATAAAAAAAAGTATAAGAAAACATAAAATAAAATACAAACAATCAATTCAAAAATCGTAATTAAGTAAATACTAAAAGCGATTACAAAGCATGTGCTCTCGAATTAAAAAAAAATCTCAAAAAATTTTTCGAAAAAAAACGAACGATTTTAATTGCAAAGAAGTTGCAAAAAATTTAGAAATTTAAAATAAAAAAGAAATGTTTTCAGTCCTTGTATAGTTTAAGATAAGAAAACTGAAAAAAAAATTTAAATTTTTCATTAAAGTCTTAAGTGCAATGCAATAGTCAAGAAATTATTTGTTTTTTTTTTCACTAGTCGCTATCTTGAATTTAACTATTTTTCTGTAAACTTAAGGCATTAAAGATCTATGTCAACTTGACAACTGGTAGTTAAGCTAAGAATATGCTTAAACGCTTTATTTTAAAAACTTAAAAATATTATCAATTTATTTTTATTTAATAAAGTGACATTTTGCTTAATTACTAGGCATTATGTGTTTGTATTTATAAAACTAATACATATGTAGTTCTGGAAACAAAACAAAAAAAAACAACACATGGACAATATAAGGAAAAAATTCAAACAAAAAAATTGTAAAATTAACGTGTATCGTGTAAATCTTTGCTGAAGCATGCTACTGCAGCTGTCTGGCTTGGAAAGAGAAATGTAATAAAAGATAATATTTTGCAAAAAATATTAAAAAAAGAATAAATAAATGTTGTTCTTACTTATAGGGTTCCAGAAATACTGCATTTAAATAAATTAGTTTTTGAATCCATCAACTTATATAGAAGAACACCCGTCCACCCCCTCGAAAATGGAGGGAGATGAGTTTTATTAAAAAAAAAAACGCAAGAGTATTACCTTACGAATCGGGAAATCTCTATCCTTTGGTAGTAAAAGCGACTTCCAGTTTCGACCGGAGGATAAAAATACAATTTCGAGTGGAAGAGAATCAAACTGACCGGAAGTCTATTTTTTTAAATTGGGAATATATGTTTTTACTACGAATTTGGATGCTGCGAACAAAAACACATAGTTTCTGTCGGAGACTTTTTCTGGAAAGCACTTCCGCTTAAGATAATGCACATCCGGGCGAAAATTTTAAGTCGTTAATATGACTATGAGATAGAGAATCTCCGACTTGGTAATCCATATTTTTTGTTCTCCAATAAAATCATTTTCACTCATTTAAGAAGTCCAGGACGAGTTGAAGTTGGAAGGTCATTTATAGGTTAAAAAAGGCACTACCGATAAAAGTCTGAAACAAAACGGTTCCTGGGCCTACCATCAGTTGACGACAATAAACGATAGACCAGCCAATTGATGCATAGTTAAGTACAACAACAAAAACACATGTGTTGTGGCATATTAAAAGGCTCTGCGGATTTTATGTACAATATTTAAACAGCTAATAAATGTGGAGTTCTAACGACTAAAACAAGGTTAAACGAAATATTTCAGAATATAAATTTGGGTCCAACTTTGAATCATTTCAGAAAGATATGTTTATAGTGATTATTTCCATCATATAGGCAAATATAATGTTACCTAATACTAGGCCAATCTCATTCAGTTGTGGATCATTTTATTTTATATTTCTTAGTCCAACTAAGTTATTATGATATTTTTTGTTTTCAAAGATCAAAACCCCAAGCAACCTAGCGGGAAAAGTAATACACCTTCTTCGCTTACGCTGTGTGCGACTATTTGTTGCTTTTGACAAGGTAAGAATTAAGTTCATAAACTAAAGAAATATTTGATTAAAAATTGTAAAAAATTCGAAGAAAGCAGTCGTAGTAGAAAATTGGTCCAATTCGAAAATTACGTTCGTAATAAATATTTGTATGAAAATACTATTTTTGATAAACAAATATAAAGTATCCATTTTTACTCTGCATTATTTCCCTCAGTGTAGGTACGTTGATAATGCAGTTAAAATATTCAGCAATTCAGCTATGAAGAACTGTGGAAAATCTGGCATTGCTTATTTCACGAGGCAATATTTTGTTACCAGCTTATGAGATGGTAACAAAATTTACCGGTTACAAGAGAACACAGAATGCGAAAAGGGTTTAAAAATTTACGCGAACTATATGTGCCGGTTAAAAAATTTTTATAACCAGCGCAGAAAAGACCTGTAACTTGCATCTCTGGGAAAATATTCTAACATTTACTGTCTCTTAAGGCAAGCAAGAACAGGATTATAACTATTTACGTTTTATTTTCATTAAATTAAGTTCAACGCATTTTCCTAGAGCACTATTTATTATTCTTATTTGCTTTAACATTTGCATTCGCTTCTGACATATCCATTAAGCGTTTAATCCTATAATGTATTAGAGTTGGTAAGATTATTTTCAATACCCCAGCTATAATTAAGCAAATTCCAGAGAAAGCAAATGCGGCATTATAATGTTTTGTCCAACCGTTGAGAACTGCAGCAATTGTGGTGCCCAGAAAGACGCCAAAACCCATGGCGAGACCAGTGAGACCAAAAGCATTAGTTAGTTTGTCCAAGCCTAAAGTGCGTACATAGATAATAGCGCGAAGAGTTGAGAAGAAAGCTAAAAAAAGAGATATGTATAAGAACATCTGATTGAATGATGGATAGATAGCAGCGTATGAGAGATTGATATGAGCGCGAATATGAAAGTTATTTAGGAGGCGCCTTCAGTGATGTACCGGGTATTGTAGTTTCTTTGGTATGAGACACCTCGTATTAAGTATTAGTGAGTTTAAAATTCGCTCACCTCGCGCCACACCATAGCAGATCGCATATGTATATTGAAACCACACAACATCTTCGCCATAAAATGCGCTCACCAACACTGCCAAGCCAGCGAAGACAATGCCGCCGCCACAGACGTAAATCGTTTGCGAACGATATCTATTTGCAATAAAGCCAGACGCTATGCAGAATACAAATATTGAGAGCCCAATAGTTGTTGAGATTAGACTGGAGTTGAAAGGATCAATTGCAGCGCGTACTAAAAGCAACAAAAGCAACATTTATAATCTTATTTTTTCACTGTGTAACTCATTTTCTCACTCTTCGAGTAAACGAATGGTATATTGAAGCCCATGGAAAAGATGAAAGCCGACAATAGTAGCAAACGAAATTCCATTATGTTCAACAAACTCGTATCGAAAAGTTTCGCAAATGCATTGAATAACTTCGACGGCATCCAATTACGCGGCGATATGTAGGCCAAATAAGGATATTTGTGACGATGTCGCAACTCGGTCAGAGTGCGACGTACGGTCTTATGCTGACGCTGCGCGCGCATTATCGATAGTGAATAATGTACGGTAGCGGCCTAAGGGTTACGAGAGTAAATCAAACTAATTCTTGCGTTCATTTATCTTAGCATTTACCCGCTCTTTATCGATTAATATTAGATGACCCGTTGTGCGTCGACTAGTGGCTGGCACATCGTTCTCATCATATTCAGCTGTGCCTGTATAGAAAAGATCTTCTCTTTCTATGGGATCCACGCGTAGTACATAATTCTGAAGTCCTTGCAGATTTTCATTGTCATATTCCACACCCACTACATCTTTTTCGTCGACGCGCTCAATTTGTTTGGTAACTCTGCGACAACATGGACATAATTTATCGATAGTGCTTACGCTTTTTGGCTGGTACACCTCTGAGAAATGTAAAAATAATTTGTTGTTAGTATTTTGAAATGAGCGAAACACGATTTAGAAGGCGGAGCTGAATTCCATGTGGGCACAACTCAACGTACCACTAAGACTATACCGGCTAAATATACTATATATACCTTCTCTTGGCCTTGGGACCTCTTCAAAAGAGAAAATGTTGAGAATATGAAGATACAGCATTCATCATAATGCCTTCGAGACTTCAGTCTATTTTTTCTGCCAATTAGACCCAACAGCGACGGATCGACGGATGGCCTTAGAGACTTCAGAAAAAGTAAACGTCTCTCACTCAGAAGCCCTAGCCGGGTACTCCTGGGGCCTATTTCAAAAAGAGACAGTGATAATTTTGTAACGACAGACATTTTCCATGTTGTCAGTGACAATTCGACAGTTTGGTGGGGGATCTGTTTCATAAAAACAATTGTGACCAACTCTTGAATTCCATGAGAAATTCCATTTAAAAAGTGACAAATTGTCATTGTCGGGATTTAAAATTGTCGTTGAAAAAATCCTCGCCAGTCATATGAAATTTATTTGTAAATCATATGTAATAATTGCATTTGCATCATTTTAGTTTTATGAAATGTTCAAATTATTGAAAAGTAGTTAAATGCGCACAATTACAATATAAATAAATTTACAAAACTCTCCGGTGAAAGCTTTCCGACGGAGCTATTTGGTTTTGTCGCGACAATTTTGTCAGAGTGACAGTTGTCTGCACAATTGTCGACAATATTCCGTATTATCACTGTCGTTTTTCGAAAATTATCACAGTTGCCTACAAACGTATATGAAACAGGGAAAATATCGCCAACAATTCTGGCTCCGAAATTTTATAGAAAAATCGACAATGTCGCACCNCACAATTGTCGACAATATTCCGTATTATCACTGTCGTTTTTCGAAAATTTTCACAGTTGCCTACAAACGTATATGAAACAGGAAAAATATCGCCAACAATTCTGGCTTTATAGAAAAATCGACAATTGTCGCACTTGTCACTTTTATGAAATAGGCCCCTGGTTTAAAGCCAGCGGTAAGTGAGGCTGTAGGAGGGGCGGTTGCAGCAAATCGCGTTCGTACTTAAGTCACTAGCAGACGGTCTATCAGCACTAACCAAGAGACTTACCGTTAACGACAAGCACTAAAAAAAAGGCCCACCCGTACATCAATCGGTTGCCACCAGTACTCTCAATTGTACATGCACTGGTCGACATTAGTGCTCTGAATTTTATTGCCGAAAGTCACCAATCCTGACACCAGTTGCCCTCATCGACGATAGCCACCGGTTGTCTACCGACACCAACAGCATTTGTCTCATTGTAATTGTAAGCCGCCGATACAGGCCGTCGCCAGTCTCTCTCTTTCTCTCTCTTTCTCTCTCTTTCTCTCTCTACCGTCACTGCTTCCCACAGTCACAATTATCCACTGCGATGGTTGGGCGATAAGACCTATACTCGATACTGGATTGCCAGCGTACTACTTCATCTTTTGACCAAACCGACCACAGGCAANTTGGGCGATAAGACCTATACTCGATACTGGATTGCCAGCGTACTACTTCAGCTTTTGACCAAACCGACCACAGGCAAGCCTTTGTAAAAATATTTTGTGGAAAGTGAAAAACCTCCGGCCGGGGTACCTTTTCGAATGTGGTGGATAATTTTTAATCATTTTTATGGATGACGGGCCTTCAGACTGTGATATTTATTACCGAGCTTCCCGTAAACCTGTCTGATCCTTCTTTATTTATTCAATCGCCGAATGGCTTGTGCTAAGTACACTACCCAAAAAGGCTGACCTTTTAATCCGAGCACGTCTTGCCCATAAACACATACGATTATGGAAACACGACCAGCCCACTTCGTGCATAAGGCGAGACATCCGAATCCTCAGGCGAAACTCGGACTCTCCAACAGATCGCAAGCAGAGGATCGGAAACTCGGCCTTTCCGACCGTTGTTAGCAGATGAACTAAGCCGCGAAAGTGGATGGGAAAGTTGGCCATTCCGATCGCGTGCACCGACTCAGCAACGCCGTGATACGGAAACCATGCCTTTCCGCCTATAAATCATGCAAGAGGCCGCAGAACGGGTCAACTGATACGCGACCCTAATGCGCCAAAGCCAACAGATTCATTTTGCGGGCGTGGTCAACGTAGAAGGGAAATCTCGAGATGAGCTCAAAAAGGAGATAACGGAGGTAAGTGTAGCCAAATCTCTACAAGGAAAACCGGCGGCCAGGTGCTCAAAAATTCCAAAACAAATTGGTAGTCCTGGAAACAAAGAGCTTGACATCCACCACATCAGATCAATTGTAAGGAAGAATGTTTATTCTTTCGATGGAGCGCAGCGTAAACCTAGAGCCGCGTAGGATAAATTCTAAGAAATTCAATGAAAAACCTCAGTATCAGTAAAGTTGAAGCCTTCCACATACCAGAGCTACGAACTCAAAAATGCAACGATCGGATAAAAGTTTAAGCAAGAACTACTGAGCACTTTAGTCTACTTGGAACATTGACCCAGTCAGTCTTTCAATGCATCTTATAGCATTTAATTAGGTTACCAGAGAAAGTCCTCTACGGCCTATTCAAGAAAGAGCCCATTTTAAGGGAAACCTAATGGCAAACACCTGAAGACCCATCTTTATACATTGATCCTGGAGCTTTAGGCTGAAAAAAACTTTGGTTGAGCAAACTCACAAGTCAAACGGGCAAATAAAAGATGGTCTACGGAACCCATATTTGGGACAGATTGGATAAGCATAGACCCAGCTCTCTACTCCGCTTAGAGCTACCACTATTCCGACCTGATGGGAACCCACGCTAGTAAGATGAGTATGCAGTCAAACGACTACTTTCGTAGCTGCCGTTATAATAAGGGCTCGTCGGCGATCTTTTCTCCACGATTCTTTTGAAAGTTTGGCTGAACTGCATTAGCCCACGATTTTGTGCGCTTCGTTAGGGCTACAAATGGCTTTTAATTCTAAGGTATGAGAAGCGATGTAAGGAGTCTCTAATATGGCATCACAATGGGCACACAGTGTCACACATAAGTGTGTCCCTATCATGTGCTGTATGGGGACAACCAAGATAACCTTACCTAAATTAAATTTTCAAGTCTCGCTACATTATGGAGTGTCAGGAAAGCTTTCCACAAAAATGGTAATGATCTTACCAAACATTTGTTCCAAACTCCTATGTTCGGATGCTGGTATTAGAAAGTGCGACACATGATACTGCGAGTAACGTACTTCACTGAAAGGCACAGAACTGTCCTCACTCGATGAAGAGGTATCGACCTCCTGAAATGATTTTTTTTTTTGTTTAGTTTCTCTTTTTACTGGTATTTTACGGAGCTTTTCGTTATCAACGCACCTTTTTCACTGCTGCGATACGTGTTGGAGTTACCTCAATGAACGTGATCGCCATTAGTAGAACGCAGAGTAGCAATACCGCATGAATCCGCGAGGTATTGCGCCAACCTATTTTCGGACATAATTCCGCATTCATAGAGGAGAAGATCAAAATACCGGCACCGGCGCCCGAACATGAAAAGCCATTGGCGATGGGACGGTAACGTTCAAAATAATAGCCAATGATCAGTTGCGAGGAGATCCATATCAGGCTGAGCGAAGAGCCACCTGGGACAAGAAGATTGGGATCAGTCACGAAGGTAGAATCAGCATAAATTTGTTACATTTAAACTCACCCAATGCACCATAGAAAACGATTAACATTATCATATTGTGACTGTAAGTGCCAATTAATATGAACACCATTGAACATATAGCGCCGCCGAAAGCCACCGGTCGAAAGCCATACTTATTAATGAATGCGCTCGCTACAGGTCCTGTAAGAAAATAAAACCCTTTTCAAGCTTTTATTTAACAATTCGCCACTGTAGGTGCATGAGCGCTCTTTACCAACTTGTACCGCAGCGACAAGCACAACAGTGGTTTGCGTCTCGCCAAGATCATCGGCAATGCAGGGCAGCAATATGCCAATTGAATATATGATACCATCGACGATAACCTGACAAAGGAAGGAGATGAGCACAATGAGCCAGCCGTAACCGCCATCCGGTGGTATGATCATATACAGCTGTGGGGAGTTGAGAAGTGACGAAAGCTCCAAAGATTGCATTAAGCGAGCGAGTGTACTTACAAAACCATTGCCCAGTTCTAGAAAGGTGGGAAATTCTGCAGGCGAATTCGGTTCACTGGACAGTGATGTTGAACTCTGCCAGCCTTTAGTCGGTACCGGTAGCTTCTCTACTGGTACATCAGACTCTTGAGCTTCCAATTCATTACGATCCTCGTTATGGGTCAACGGTGAGGACATTTCGGTTACTTGTTCTATATTTGCGCTGTGAATATCTTCATACGATAGGCTCTCCAAGCTGGCCGATGCAATAGTGCTACCGCTTGCTTGCGCAGGTTTTGAACGTCGCTTTGAAAAGGTATACGAAGATTCATCTTTTAATTGTGGTTCGTTAATAACGCGCTGCTTTGTATACTTCTTCACGCGACGCACCATTTCCGGTACCAGCTCCTTACCATAAAGGTGCACCTCATCAACTGAAGTGGTTGCGCTATCAAATGATGTTTCAGCTATGCTGCTTTCGCCCATAGGTGCCTCTGTTTGCACACCTAACTCGACGGTGCTTTGTGTGGCTTGTACGCCGGCCTCTGTCAAAACTCGTTGGTCCGTGGCAACCTCTACGTTATTTTCACGATTAAGCTCAGTTGCAGTGTCTCTACCTTCTCGAGTATCTATGATGATGGTCGAAGTGTTTGCGGCGAATTCATTTATTCTAGATGTGGTTTGCGCAGCTATCTCTGCTGTAAGCTGGACTTCATTTGAAGTCTGCGTAGCGTATTCATCTGTTTTTGGCTGTTCGATATTGAATGGCCTAATGCTGGATGTGGTTTGGTCACTTGTATCTCGGAGCGCACCTTCAGTGACTGTGCCAACAGGAGCAAGATTTCGAGCTTTCGTTGATGCTTTGCGCTGATTTGGATGTAGTACGGGCGACGACTGAGGCGTTGCCGATAGAGCGGACTGGTAGCGCGATGTGCGTGCACTCGTTTGCAGTGGAGAGTCGAAACTTAGTACGGAATAATATGGTGTAACATCGTTCGCGGAAGATGTGGGCGGCGTATGTTTAGCTTTGCTGTGCAGTTTAGTGAAAAATATGCATTTATTTATAGATGATGGCAGATTTAACAAATTTACCCCTTTTCTTGTGATTTATCAGTCATTTTGTATTGGATGGATGTTTGAATGCTCAGCGATTTTAAATAGTTTATTTTTGTATTTTGTTTGTATTCAATTCATCAAATATTAGAATGTCATAAAAAATCAAATATAAATCGAAATCAGCTAAGTTCTAGCCATGATACAAATATAGTAAGGTAGAACCGCTGAGAGTCACTTTTAAGATTCTTGACGTTTCCAAACAATTTAATTTTTAAATTTACTCACAAACTCACACACACATTTTCATTTTCAATCTCAAGCAACAACAATTTCGAACAATTTCAATTTTTTATTTTCACTTTTATATGATTTTAAAATGTTGGCAAACTTCAAAAAAAAATCATGGCCGACAAATTGAGAGAACGGTTATACCTTGCTATGTTTTTATCATGGTTCTAGCAAGCAGCCGCACAGTGCCGCCTAAGTGGCCAAAAATCGAAAAATTCGTTATCTGCAATGTGAACTTGTTTGGTATTTTTGGAAAAGCAATTTATCCACTAAAAAGAATTAAACAGACATTCCTCTAAAAAATTAATAATATGCCGCCAGGAAGGCACTAAAGTCGACAAATTTTATACTAAGAATTTTAATAAGAGCATAGCCATGCGTAAGCTATTCACAGAAAAAAATTTCAAAAATATATTCTTTGAGATAAAATATTGGTTTGACGTTTCTTGTTTTCATATACATCGTAGAGATTTACAGGAATTAAAATTTTGGAATAAAATTAAACACAGGGTGTCCCTGCGGAGTTCCAAAAACACAATTTTTTTTAACATAATTTCAAAAAATGCTAATATTTAATGGAATGGATAAAAAATATATGTAAAAATAGGTTATTTTTTATTATTTTATTAAATAGCACGGGCTTTTAGCTTTCAAACGAAGAAATAAAAACCGTTTACGTGATAAAAAATTTTTTAATTTTTTATCAGTGCCTTGAGATCTGCACGATTCGTTCCATTTTCAAAAATGAAGTGCCAGATTAAAAAGCTTGACCTGTGGACAATAAAAGGTTTATTTTTTTTTAAAAAGTTGCCACCTGTTAAAAAATTAGATCAATAAAAAATTATATTAACATTTTTTTATAAGTTAAATGAATTATTAAGAGATGGGTATCATTGGAAACATGTATTAGCTACATGTAGAGAGTTGCCACCTGTTTAAGAAATCAAATTCCACTTGAATTAAAGGAATTAGGTAATTGAAATAGATAGGTAGCACCATAAGGGAGTCAGACGAAGGAGGTTTAAGAAGGTTTTAGCTTAAAAATATTACGAATAGGGTTTCCATCTGTTTGGAAAGTCGAATTTAGTTAAACTAAAATAATAATAACGTCAAACCATAGGATTACGCCATCATATTTGTTGTTTTATTACAAATACATACTTGGTCAATCAGTGATTTGTTCTGATTACATTCCTTTTAAATAACTGGACTCTTAAATTAACTCAGGAATGTTTTTACTCTCCACTTATTTCTTACTAAATATGTCAAATTTTTGTCTGATACTCATTTTGATATACATATTTCAGTTACCTTAATTAAAGTGAATTTGATTTTTCAAATATGTGGCAACCCTTCTACGTGACATTTAGGTGTAAAGTATTTTCAAAACTAGTTCAATTGATACCCATATTGTATATCTAATTCATTTAACTTATTAAATAATTTTAATAAAATTTGTAACAGGTGGCAACCCTTTTCAAAACTAAAAAACTTTATTGCACATCTACAGGCCAAGCACCGTCATTTGAAACCTCACTTTTGAAAATAGAACCAACTGTATGTACATGCCTATGTAAAAGCCACAAGAACCCACATTTTCAACTTCAAACTGCATTTACAGTGAAAGTATGAAAGTTATCCAAAAACCAATTGCATTTTTGAATTTAGCGTCCTCAATTTTACTAAGGCACGAATTTTCATTTAAATCCGTCCATAATTCTATTTTTGCCCACATTTTATATGGAAGGGAAGCACTGTGAGCCGTATCAAAAAAAAAAAAGAAATCTTAGCAATAATAAATAAGTAAAGTTTACTTATTTCTAAAATGTATTTCAGACCGTACCACCTTACAAGCAATTAAAAAGAAGAGTTCATCGAACACCCCTGACTCTAAAGTATTTTTGTAAGGGAATTTTGAGAACAAATTCATATTTTTTTGCCGAGCGAGGCATCGCAATTTTTTTAATTTTCAGTGCCACCTACTATACATACATTCTGCAATAAAAATATATTTTTTTGTAATATTTCTACTGGTATAATCGAAATAAGTTTTTTGCAAAAGCTTAATGATTTTCGGTGAGCTTTAGTTTACTAACACTAAGGTCGAGGCCACGCAATGAGCGGCAGTACGTTAAGACAGGTTTTCACTATGTCAAATTCAATGGAATTTGTCGTCAAATAAGCGAAAACACATTGTCAAATGGAAATAAAAACGGTTTATCGATTAATTTATATCAGAATAGGTCTTCAGTCCAAATATGTTGACAAAATTTTTTGTAAAAATATGACATAGTGGAAAACAGGCTTTAGAGTGATATAAACTGCGGTCTGGTGGGTAAATTCATACTAGCAGAACGGGGTACTTGAAGACAAGGAACTTTGTCTGCTCCGGAAAAAATATCAATATGTCATACTTTAAATCCCATTGTAAATGCCGAAGGAATGACAAAAAGTTTAAAATTCGACCCCTAAATTGCACAGTGGGCCATAAGACTGAAAAAAGGCCAAAAACCAATGTTATTTAAAAGATTAAAATAATAAACTTATCTAAATAAGTATAATATATCTACGCTTATAACTCAAGAACGTCTGAATCGATTTCGGGGATTCGCACCAATTCGGACTGGTCTCCCACTCGGAAACTGGTGACGCTGGCGACACTGGTGACACTGGTGAAACTTGTGACACTGGTTACATTGGTACACTGGCGACACTGGTGACACTGGTGAAACTGGCGACACTGGCGACACTGGTGACACTGGCGACACTGGTGACACTGGCGGCACTGTCGACACTGGTGGAACTGGTGACACTGGCGACACTGGTGACACTGGTGACTCTGGTGACACTAGTGAAAGTGGTGCAGTTGTGAGCGTTAATTACTGGTGAAAATGTTGAACCAAATTGTTTTAATAAAAAATTTATTTTTGTGGGACGAAACCCTTTCGTAAGTTCGTGATGATACTGCTGGCATGCGTAACGTGACCTGCAACTTGTACTTCTAAGGCCCGTTTTCTCAAGCAACCTGTAACTTTAAAGCTCACTTTATATTTAAAGGTTGCATTAAAATTTATGACTGTCTCTAAAGTAAAGCATTTTATTATCGGTTCTAAATTGGTTTACAACCAAAAAACATACATACGTCAAAAACCGATGACAAAATGCTTAACTTTAGACATAGCTTTATTTTTAAACCAACCTTTAAATATAAAGTGAGCTTTAAAAACTTCTTCAGAAAACGGCCCTAAGCAAGGAAACGAGTTGTTGCAACAAGCAGAATTGAGCATTGTAGTTGATAGCTTAAAATTGCAGCTATTAAAGACTGAAAAAGGCGCAATCGAAAGCAAACATACAGACGAGACGAGGAAGCGGCAACCAGGCGAATAGCATGAAAACTGCATACTGCATAGAGGCATCTCTTGAAATGCGAAACTGTTTGGCAAGGAAATAGACGACGTACTACAATCAATGCGAATCGCTGTAGAATTGATTAAAGTGGCGTGGCAAGAACGGCTGGTGGATTGTTGGGCGGCGGCAGGCGGCTGTAATTTAAGGGAGCCATAAAAATTCAATGCGCACAGCGTATAGCTAGCTATTTGTAAGCTTGCGGGCGTACAAAAACGAACTGAGACATGACTGGCGACAAACTGTACGAAGGAACGAGTTTCGTAGGAGTAATAGCAAAGCTGAATCAAAGGAATAAGCTTTACAAGTTTCAGCGCTGCACTCTAGCGATTTGTGCCCCGAGGCACAACACACAATTTCAGTTTTCTTGCACTCATCAATGTACTCGTTGATGGAATGATGCGGTGCATATGGAAAACTTTCTATGCACATGTGTGATTTGTTGTGCATATACATACATATGTGTGATGGTTACGTGCGTGCTTGCGCCCGTGCATTTATCATTGCATGCGTGATTTGATATTGAACTCATTGCGACTGCAACTGACTCAAAGTTGCCTCAAATTCTTGACGTTCACTAGCATTTTGATTTAGATGTTAAATCCTGGCGGTAAAGTTGCAATTTTGAAATTCGTTTCCATTTGCTGTACTACGTATATGCGGCATTCAATCAATAAGATGACAATGCAAGCAATTGCATTCACATGCATATATACATACATACATACATACTTTAGTATGCAACTAGATTCGTTCAGTTGAAGCAAGATACTTAGTTGAACCAGCAAACTCATATCCTCACATGCTTTCACGCATACTCACACTATGATGACGAAATAAAGAAGAACTGCACGCTCATTTAGATTCATTTTGCTTTGTTGTGAATGTGTGCTTTGGTTTGCAGGAATTGTTGCGTGATTTGACGAGATTTTTATTTTTTTTTTTATTTTACCCCCGCATCTACTAAGTCCTTAAGCATAATGGAAGAGTAAATGTAATACTAGCTGATACCCGTGAATCCGCATGCGTAGCTTACTACTTTTCCATATATTTACGGAAATTTTTATAGCAAAAAATGCAGCTTTGAGGAATTTTAACAATTCCCTTACATTCAGTAGAAATACAGCTCTGCTTCAGTAAACATTTTCAATTTGATTTGTTTGCAAATATAGTATACATACGTTTCTAATTTCATCTAAATCGGACTATAAATACGCATTTTCTGAATAACTTTAAACTAGCGCCATCAAGCGGATCCATCTTTCATCAAAATCGGACGGTAAGCGCAGATTTTATCAAATTTTTACTCCAGCGCCACCTAGCGAATTAATGTTTGGTTAAATTATTTTTCATTCCACCCTCAGTATAC